AAATTGACCAATCAGACCGCGCGCTTTACTTTGGTTATGTTATAAAAGGTCTTATTCGAAAAGAGCTCCACACTTCATTATGTGGGCAGTTCTTGGTGAACAAAAACAATGGCGAAAAAAATAGATTGACTTTGGAACTACGGCTTTTTGTTGAAACAGTCGTATACAGCTTTCGCGGCATTTGGATTGTTACGAATTCGATGAAAGCAATTCATGATCAAGTATTAGGTTTCTAGCCTTGCTTTTTTCCTCTCCATGAGATATTGGTTAGGTGTCAATAACGAAAAAAAATGCGAATGTGAAACTTCAATACAGTAGTCAGGACAAAATTCCCTCACGTTTTTCGTTCCAATGTTGGCATGGACTTCATGGAAGTACTTCTTGATTATATCGAGGTAATGTCTCTTGCCCTAGGGAGAACGGAATTTTAATTCTAAGCAGCAATGTCATTATTCTGTTCAGTTTTGCTTGTATATTCATAGGCTGTATCTTATGATGTGCCCTTTCGCAACTTTAGTTTACCCTTAAAAGAGTGTACGTATTTATAACCGAAATCCCAACTCCTCAAGACCGAAACATCAGTGTGTGTACTCAGGTCAATGTTGGTATCTGTTGGTCAATGTTGGTCAATGTTGGCAAGTGTGCACTTGCCCCTCCCTTACTCCAATATGAACACTAGCTTGTTATACGTTTCCCATTGTACTGAGAGTGAGAATCAAGAGCCTAGCTTCTTTTGTTAGCGCACATTTCCAGTATTTACCTGGTCTTACTCTTTGATTGATTACTTATAATCTAGGGAGGAATTATAGACTAGTAACTTTTAATGGTTAAGGGGAGAAACTTATAACGAGATGCATAGGGACTTTTGTATCAGAACCTCATCATTAGAGGTTCGAGTAACGACCTGAATCTCATTGCAAGTCACCTTGTGAGTTTTCTTACCTCCCAAAAATGTGGCATTTTTCCATAAACAAGTGCTTTTGTTCTTATTCTTGTCACTGTTGTTTGTAGCAGATGCTTCTTATTTGGGACAGCAAAGCCAATGAACGAATTATCAGGACTGTGGGCTGAAAATTAAGACACAAACCTAAGAAAAAACAAACAAAAAACGAACCAAAAAACAAAAACAAATCGATCCAAAAAATATAAGCAGCAAAACACAAAAGCTAACAAAAAAATAAGGCAATCATACAAACACACACACACACACACACATATACACAAAACAATTTGATAAGGACACCTGAAAGTACACTAGGAAAAACAGACACAAAAATACTTAGTTGATTGGATAACTCAAGTATGCCTGTAATTATGATGACTTCAAAATGCTATAAATTCTTCCAAAAATCATCAAATTAATCAACGAAAAACCGTGGACCACTATCGATTCACATAAAGGAAGAAAAAGGCATACTAAAGAAACAATTGATAGCCACGTAAAATAATTGGGAAATATAACTTACGATACATAGTCATAAACTGTGGAAGGAGCAGATTTAAGTTTCCCCATACGGATCTCCCACCAGGAATGTTCTCTTTGTAAAAATCAAAGTTGAATTCAGCGTCAGAACCAAATGAGTCAAGGATACGAATTTTGCATCTAATCGAGGAAGAAACAGAGCAAAAAGGAACAAATAAATTAATATACATATATATATATATACATGAAAATGCTACTGGAAATGATAATGTGGAGTTAAATAACGCCATGTTCTCATCAATAACGTAGCTGCATTTTCTGCCTTTAAAAGCACACACAACCCACAATTCCTCCATTCGCTACGACGAAGGGCTAACGCTCGAAACGTCAGCTTTTATAATCGTAACGGTAGCAAATTTACCATTTCAACTTTGTTGATATATTCATATTACAGAATTTACCTTCTTTAATCTGGACGTTTTGAAAGTTTGATCGAAAAAAAAACGTGTTACGCCTACGTGTCTAACCTGTATCGAGATTGATGCGGTCCACTTGCATCACCCAACTTTGCAACGCCTATGATATCAGTTAATATCAGATCCAATCTGTCGTTAAGTACCTTGGAAGCACAGCCGTCCGAGTCGGGAGGTGTGATAATGCTGCAACAAGAGAGTAGGGTCAGACGAGGATTCCACAGCTATAGCGTCACATATTTTAAGAAGAGAGAAATACAGAACTAACGTTTATAGGTTTCTAATTCCTTTCTAAATGACAAAAACAGCCCTGTTTATCTATGAAACTGAGACTTTTTTATAAAATGGATAAATTGTAAACTATCTCGGTAAAAAATCTCGAGTGTGTCTAGCCGAGGATGAAACCAAATAATGTCCGTTTTAGTATGGATCTACTTATCGTTCAAAACTTAACTTCACAAGACAAGCATTGAGTTTTTATTTCATTTTATTGTTAGCAACCGGACTCTGTCAGTCAACTCACTTCACTCACTATGCATCACGGGATAGATAGCAAGTAGCGTTTCCGATCAGACTGTAGCATTTGTGATAGATCACTAGTGTATTTATACTGCACAGTACGAAATATCAATAATCCGTAAACGGAAACGTTGAAGAAATATTTGACACCGTTGCTGAAACACGACAGTTAACACGCGTTTCCGCTGCCGGTTTGGTGACGTTGACTCGAGTTTCCGTTGCTGTGGTTACAGCGGAACCGTACCACTTTTTTACATATTTCCGTCGGCTGTTTCCTTATGTTTCCAGTAACTGCTTTGTTGCCTCTGTCATTTTCCATCCATCACTTTCCGTATTCTTCAAGAGTTACGTAACTTGAGCCCTGACCCCCTAAGACTTTTAAAGCAGAACTTCTAAATGCACGTTGCGCACACTTACTTTGGTAAGTCGTTTCGGTCCGACGTGATTACAAGATCGTGTCCCAATATGTACAGTGCACTCATGACGTCACTCCATTGGCTGAGTTCTCCCAGAACGCCACCACTGAAAGCCTCCATGAAGATCTTAAAGTTGAATTCTAAGCTTCCCATATAAAGAACGATCTGAAGGGGAAATTTTTAAAATCGCTCTTAACTAAGCACGAGAGCAACACTGGGAAAAATGGTATTTCCAGAAAAAAAGTACCAAATTAAGATCGAAAATTTTTACCTTTTTCTTTTTCCTTCCTGATATACCCTTTCTGATAGCTAGCTCTTTGACGGCTTCTACCCATTGCGGCCATGTTTCGGTGATTCGAATCCTCATCCAGGCGTAACGGTCATCTGCAAGTTGCTGTAGTAATTCTGATACATCTGTACGAATCTTTGCCTATAACAGTACATTTCTATAAGTAGGTAGAGTTGACATATATTATTATTTTTTTAACACTTTAAAGGACTGGTGTTATTTTCAGCATTAGTTTAAAAAAAGAAAGTTGTTATGAAAATATTTCGTTGAACAAAATTTCTACTCGTAGTTATTAGTTACAATCTTTGCAGCGAGTCTTACACAAACCTGTGATTGACTCACTGATGGCTTAAATGGGTCCTGGTCATGTCGCCATGGTAACACTGGACACCATGCTTCGACCTGTGTATTACAAGAGAGCGAAAACATGTCACATGGAAAAGTTTTACATGTATAGTGCGATCAGTAATTTACTAACCTCACTAAGATATTGAATCACAGAACATCTATCATCCAGATCCACCCTATGCTTCCCACCGTGGCACTTAGGATTCCAAGAATCAGGAAAGGACTAAAAATGTAGTAAGCAATAGAAGAATCATGAGCAAACTCCACTTAAGAAATGTGTCAAAAATGTTCAATCGTTGTCTCTTTTTGAAAACGTACCTTTACTTTGAAAGAACACAGTGGAAATCTGACGTCCTCAGGTATCTTACATTTGTTAGGTTTTGCCACTATCTTCTTTGCTAAAATAGAAAGAAAGAACACAAAATATTTGTGCGCAAAAGGCCCAAGGTATCCTCATCTTAGCCAGTGAGATTCAAGAATTTCGCACCGCTCCCAAGGTTTTGATATGACATAAATGTATGGGTATTCCGTACTCACACTCTTCCTTATGCACCAAACTGTCGTTTCTTATAGTGAAGTCAATTTGTAAACGGTCTGTATCCAGTCTTTCTACAACTCCAAGACTTTTACTTCTGCCAAAGTGATCTGGTGAAAAAGGAATTGTAGATATATAAATCTGAGGGGAAATAAATCTTTCCGGTAAAATTATGTAAAAGTACAGAGCACTATTGGGTATAATAAGTACTATTATGATGAAAGTAAACTTCTAAATTAATTTATAAAAAGATATTAGAAAGAGAAGGCAGAAAACCTTTATACGAAAAAAGCAAAAGAAAACAAAATACACAAAAAAAGACAAAACAAAACAAAATCAAAATCCGGGCCAAAATGTCAAAATCTTAACACCCCCTGAGTGAGGGTGGTTTGGATAAACTCTCACTGTGCCTCTCTCCTCCCCAGCCAGGAGTTTTAGTCGTTACAGGAGAATTGTCGTGAGGAAACTTGAAAAAATTCAAGGAGAGCGGGAGGGGAGGGGTAAGGAACCTGCTATTTATCAAAAACACCGTACGAACGGCAGGGACACCGTACCTCTCACAAAATGTCACTGAAGTATTACTGGCAGAAATATGCTCTTTAGATATCTGTTGATAACCCCTCATATCTATCAATGCTGATCTAGAAAAGAGACCTAGACATGTTAACAATTATTATAAGCGCGTACCAAAAACTTACCAATCGTTCTTGAATAATGGCTTTCGAAATTTCCGAGCTTCCAATAGCAAAAGTTGTTGTTACAAAACGATACTAGAATAACAATGGAATTTTGAACCAGCACTGTAACAGCAAAGAGAAACGCCAGAAACAAAAAGCAACGTTTTTTTGATAACGAGCGTTTAAACTTCATCTCAACAAAAGAGTGAGATTTAAACTAGCCTGCTAGAAAAGGATATAAATTGTATTTTCCATAAAGAAAGGGTAAATATTGAAAAATGTTTGGCTTAGACATATTGTTGCCATAGTTTCCTTTTTTACCTTTGGTGTTGTCATGGAACTTGAAAGTACTTAAAGAATAATTTTGACACATTCGAATCAGTTTCACACTTCTCCTTTTGGGATGGAAAATGCAAAAAGGAAAATGTAAATATTTTAAGTTTATTTTATCAAAGTATCAGACCGCACTTTCTATCGCTTTACCAGCAAAGTATTTCCAAATGTAATAGTCAAATTTGGAATTTGATTTTGAACAGTTGCTACATAAATTATCTAAGCTTGTGTATTTCCAGAGAAAAAGTAAACAACGCTAGGTAAATTTGATGCCATCAGCGATAGCGTGAAATGACTCCGTGGCATGATGAATAACGATTGATGTTAGCGCGCGATATAATCCAGCGATTGTCTTCACGTGCATGTTAATGCATCCCAACAGAAAAGCATTCAAAAGTCACTGGGTCCAAAAGAAGACCTTCGCAGAAACAAATATTAAATGCTCAGCAAAAGAAGTAAAGCAGACAAGCTTTCTGTGCAGGGAGTATTTTAGAGCTATATCTGAAAAGTTAATTCATAACTTGATGAAGTGACTCCTAATGAATAAAGGCTGATACTTTCGAAAGAAACTGTTTGGGGCTGCGTCGGTGGGGGTAACGAAATAATTAGGATATATCAACAAAGTTGAAATGGTAAATTGGCCACCGTAACGATTACAAAAGCTGACGTTTCGAGCGTTAGCCCTTCGTCGNCAACCCACAATTCCTCTATTCGCTCCGACGAAGGGCTAACGCTCGAAACGTCAGCTTTTGTAATCGTTACGGTGGCCAATTTACCATTTCAACTTTGTCGATATATCCAAATTATCAAGTGACTCCTAGTTCAGCAAGACTTCCGTCTAACACTAAACTTCATTGAATATGCGATTTGCTCATAACTAAAAACAATGGCGAAAACTAGAGATTACCTCTAGGAAGACCTCTGTGTTCTAGAAGAGTACATGTACAGGATTACACAGAAACCTTTCCTTACTTTTCAGGTAGCATGAATGACGATCTACCCCAACATTTACATCAAGCTCAGTTTGAGGAAGAGACTTCATGTAGAAGGCATGAATCAAGCCAAATCAGACCTGATGAATTAGCATTCGCTCCTTGCCTAAAATTAACGAGTCATGTCGCAAATGACATGGTAATTAAAACAAAAATGGTTTATTCGAGATTTTATTTGTACATAGTTCGCCCATCTTTCGGCTGCCGAAAATTCCCGTGATGTGCAATCGCGCTATTTTACACAGGGTCATCGAACAGTCTTTGGTTGCCTTCATTTAACGAGGACTATTCCACGTTGAAGTCAAATGTGAAATTAAAATCAGAACTGTCACTGTGAATAAACGAATGAATGAAAATATATATTGGTTTTCATTCACCTGAGTTATTAGTAACAATATCTCAGGAATGAGATAATTTAAATGAAGCAGCTCAGAACCTATTTACTAAGCCATCCTACTCGATCTCGTCCAGGGTTACGCGGCAAGAGGGCTAATCCGGTTGACCACTGCTTCCATGAAGACACTTAAAATTGGACTGGAAAAGGATTACACTTTTCGGTGTTTTAGTGCGGCTTACAAACCAACCCGAGGTTGTGTATGGAGGCTCCGGAGAGCTACTTTTAGCTTGCCACTGCTCACTTATTTTACATAACCTGATGGTTCGAATATAAAATTTTCCTTCCAGAATTTTCAATAAAGCAAGGAGCACAATTATGTTGTTTAACTGGTAATCAATATCGCTACGGTTCAATAGAAAACTTAAAAACTCTGAGCTGTGTCAATCAGCCATAGTACCGTCTTACATTCTACCTTGATAGCGACGCCAGCACTTTTCAAGGCTACATGTACCACGATTTAAAATCACTGCATCGTAGAGCGGAAAACAAATCTTCTTCAGGACGTTTTCTCTCTGAGGTTTCTATCATCTCAGACACTATCACGTACCTCTATTGCATGTTGTTATTCACATGTCACTGACAGGAAATGAAATATCTCATCAACTGGGCATCTTTGTGTTTTACGTTAATGCCAATGAAACAGTTTAATCTCAAACGGACAGGAAATTAGCTTCAGGTCCAATAGGTGATGTGTTTATTCATCTTAGTCAAGTTACACAGGTTATTATCGAGATACGCGTGTTCTGATACGCTGCGGGTGACGTCAATGTGTCATTTTCTTTTTAATAAAAGAAATTGCAGAAGCGCTGAAAATCATCAGATTAGTCGCACATTATCAATTATACTCAAAAGACTCAGCGGAAGACAATGAATAATCCCTTGTCAAAGAAAAAATCCAATCCCATTATCAACTAATATAGAATAACTCTAATGCAAACTCTGGCAAAGCTACTTGACAGATAAAATCTGAAGTTGCAACAACGTACCCAGATTAAGGTTGTCAACAAATAATGACTTCTCACCTGCTTATTGCACAACACCTACTGAGGCGCTAAGTAGAGTTCCTCCTTTTATTTTTCGCATGAAAAAAAAAAAAGAGAAAAACTGTTGCGTAACCTAACCAATCATTATTTGGGTATCTTTTTGTTTAAGTCAATTCAAATAAAAAACTTTTATTTAAGCTATTCAGCAGTTTACTTTCAGGCTTGATAATTGGTAAGTTCATTAGTTTTTGGTTTTTTAGATCATAATATTGCCTAAGAGAAAGTTCCGCTTCCTCAGAGCAATATAAAATTTCAACGCCCACACCATTTAAGGAAGGTAGGGATGGATTTAAGTAGGCCTGCCATGACAGGCAAGCCTCTTTGCAACTGAGTAACTGTTGAAGGTTTAAGATGCAAGAACAGACCTTTGAATTTTACCTCAGCGTTTTCTGGGACCGGCCGACTGTGAGGAAACACTTGTAGGTGTGTATTCTCCAGTAAAGGCCACACGAAAACTAACTTAACAGATTTAATCAACAAATCTGTGCGCTGCAGATGCAAAAATGGAAAGCGAATTTTTAAGTAATTATTCAAACAAAATCGAAAGCAATTTTATCGTTTTGAAACAATCGTTGTCCTAAATTGTGTCCTCAATGCCACACTTATGCTCGTATCCATCTTTGGAAACATCCTAGTGCTGGCTGCCATTCTAAAAACATTATTAAATTCTTCTCCAAGTACAGTTTTCCTCAGCAGTTTGGCCCTTTCAGATCTTCTCGTTGGCGTGGTTGTACAACCAGTTTACATTGCAAATGCCTTAACCGGGATGACTTATCTCCAGACAACTATGGCTACCCTGGCCTCTGCAGCTAGCGGTGTCTCCCTTTTCACCATGACAGTCATAGCAGTTGACCGTTCCCTATCTCTTCATTGTCACATGCGATACCCACAATTGGTGACAAGAAGTCGCGCCGTGTATCTAACAGCAATTCTTTGGATCGTCGCTGTAGTGCTATCCTTCTCGCATCATCTAAGCTATCTTGCTTATTTTCTTGCCATAGCTATCTGTATAATCCTTTGCCTTATGATTTGCACTGCTTGTTACCTTAATATGTATCGTATTGTTCGTCGGCATCAGCAACAGATTCAAGCCCAAAAACAAGTAGTTTTAAAAGCTGAATATAATCATGCCATGAAGAAGTCAACCAAAAGTGCCAAAAACACTTTTATTTATTACATCGCCATGGTTCTTTGTTATTTGCCAATGTTTATCACTAAGGCAATTATGTCCGTTTTCCCCGAGCTTTGGAAAAAGGCGTGGATCTTAACAGAAACAGTTGTGTTCATGAACTCAGCTATCAATCCCTTTTTGTACTGTTGGCGCGTACGCGAGCTCCGGGCGGAAGTTATGAGGATATTACAGTGGATCTCATGTAAATAGATCGGAGAACTGGGAGGCTTAATGGAAATTGCTGAATCCTTGTGGCAGAGACGCCGGTACATGCAGATATGCAGATAAAATGTAAACAATCCGTTATTGTGTTCAGCAACCAGTTTATGAACCACAGCTGAGCAAGGCACTTTAATTTATTGTTGATGTTTACGCAAGCGAATTTTGTGAAGTAAAGTACACCTATAAAGATTTAAAAATCTCAAACTTTATGGAAACACTCATAATTAACACGTGCTGTCGTCTCGAAGACCTCTTAGAGCTAAACAAGACATCGTCCGTAAGATTTTAATTAAAATTCTGTGTGTCTTAACATATTTCCATCGTTTGAGGTGAATGAAAACTTCCAGTTGTTTAATGCTGGTAATTTGGAAAAAAATTCGTTAAACAGAAAGTTTTTCTTTCTGATGTTAATCAGAACCCTTACCTGTGAGCAATTTTTTTTTACATATTTACAACTCTTATTGAAAATTCTTAATGCGCAGAAAAATACAAATTTCGAAGCTTCATTTCATTTGCAGTTAGAAGACAATGGGGAAAGAAACAGGTCATGGAAAACGTTTCCAATTACGTTTACCATTAAAGGCTCTCTGGACACTGGGGTTGAGTTTAATCGATTCATGGGCACTGGGAAGAGTTTAGGGATTCTTGAAGTCCCATGTTCTGCTAATTGTAATAATAATAACTATGATAATATGCGTAATAGTAAGAACAATCAGATATCTAATTGCTTTTATCTAAAATGAGAATATGCCTGATAAAAATTGTAAAAAAAGTACGGGAAGTTTCTTGAAGTTTTATTTCCTGGTACCTTTTTTATTCTCAGGATCAATTTACCTTGAACGAGTCTCTAGTACATACAATACCTTTTTGGTTTTCCCATCCATTGGTCAAATTTAGTTGAAAGTTCTTTCTAATGATTGATGAGATTGTAAAGACCTTTTTTTCTTTTAAGAACTCTATTATCAAAATAGTTAAACACCTACGAAGTGGTAATGATAAAATTATAAAACGTGACTGTGAAATAATCTTAAGGTTATAAATTAGTATATCAATTAAAAACGTAGCAAGTGCTTTAGAAAAAAAACAAAGACTGGAATTTCCTGATAGATGGCTTTGTGTTGCTCCAGTCTCTACCAATTAAGTACAAAAATTTCTTCTGAACCTATTCTCATTTATTAAAAGGGACTCAAAACTACGCATTTCCTATCACATGGTAGACCTCATCAGATAGTTGTTACAAGCTAGGTTAACAAGCTAGCTTCTCTGATGAGGGTCTGGATGGGCGTGCCTCGAAAACACTAAACACTAAAATTTTTCCATCTATAACATCAAACAATTACATTTTAAGCTGTGCAACATCTAACACTAAAAAACTCACTGTAACTCTTGATTTGATACAAATGTAAGCACAAATGGCTTAAAAAAGCGAAAGATACTAATTAAGACAAACCTGGACATTCGATATGGAATATCTACAATTAATTTACAGACTGTGTCATTTTGATTACAATTTTGGGTTTTTTCATTGTTTATGTTTCTATCATGGAAAATCATGGGAGACCATTTCTCAGCAGAAGGGTACATTATACTCGACAGTGAAAATTTTCCTCCGTCGTTATTACACTTTTGCAATCTTTTATTTAAAAAATTTGTTTAATCAATCATCATGCTCCTTTTAGCTGCCGGGAAATAGACTTTTGTGTCCTCACTAGCTAATCCTCTCGTTTCTTAGCAAATGTATCAGCAGCAAGCCAGCCTTTGAATCTGAACTCCCCTTGCCTTTCATCATCCATATCCCTGCCTGAGTCGGTGTCGTATTAATCCTCTTGATCCGGCACTTCACCAACGGCAACTATTTCAACCGCGCTATCGTTCACAAACGTAATGCTGGGTATGTGCGAGTCCCCATCGTCATCTGTGACTTGCGGAATAATTTGTTCGATTCGTTCTTGACCCTCAACAGTTGAGTCGTCGTGGAACCTTACTTTGGAACGAGGAGGTTGAGCGTTATACACTGCTGGTGGGAGAGCTCCGGCTTTCTCTTTTGTGGTTTCACTCCGCACTGTTCTCTGCCTCACAGGACGGTATTTGTCCACCAACTCCTTCATCGCTACTTCAATTGGAGGATCTATCCTTGCAGCTTTTAGAGGCTTCATCATTTCAACATCTACCAACTTCATACTAGATGTTGGAACTGGATAAAACGATTTGTCATGTGTAAAGTATTTGGCGCTCCACTTTGTCGTTCTTTTTAATGATTCTTTTGCAATTGTGCCAAAGTCTCGAGCATACTGTAAAGCTGTGAAAGTCTCGTTTTTAAAGTGGGAGACTGCATGAAGGCTTTCAACTACGGTGGTCAGTAACGTACGGTCTTTAAGGTCTTTTAACATAAGTATAAGTCACCAAATATAACTGTTATTTTTATTAAGAACAACCTGGGTTTGAATAGCAAAACCTTAGCTTTTCCAGTGAATATTGCAATTTGCAATTTTTTCCTGCACTTTATGAATTTGAAAGATCAGTTGTCTACTCACGATTGAGTTCACTCTGGGTTTCGTCAGAAAAAAGGAGTGGAACTCCATTTCCCATTGATATTGCGTAAGGATATGTAAATTCTTCGTTTTCCCGTGGGCATACCTGGCCAGCCGGTACAGTTTCAACTCGAAATTTCCCATCCCCAATGAGGTGGCCATTTGTGAAATACCAAGAAAGTTGATCAAATGCTTCTTTGCGTCCGTTATATTTCTTTGCTCTTTACCGATTGGAATTCTGCTTCCATGCATTTCAAAAGCATTTTCCTCGCCACATCTATAAAAGCTGACTAATACTTCCACAACTCTCACCGATGCGGACGTGGCGGCCATTTTGTATACAGAAGTCTGCTAAAAACGACTGACCACAAAATGTCTGAAGAACTTATGCGCATTAACACAAAGTTTGCATGCTGACCAGTTCGGTCAGTTCCGCGCAGGCTCTTCTCCTTTTGCTTGTAGTTTTGCACCCTTTATCATAAGAGCTAAGTTTGAATAATCTTAGTCCTTTTTTTCTAACATTATTGCCTTCTCTATGAAACTTTTATTGATCTTTAATGAGTGAAATCACTGTTCTAACACCTTTTAACACCTTTTACCACCTTTTAACAGTTAACTTTTAACACCTTTTAACGGTTAACTTTTTTAAAACGCTAAACATTCTAATTTTACAAATTTTAAAACTAAATATTAAAAAAAAAGGCCAAATAACACTCAACACTAAACCCCATCCAGACCCTCTTCTATGCACAATTCAAAAATTAAAATTATTTCGACTTATAGGCATGATGAATAAGGAGCAAGCGGAAAGTATTCGCAAGGTGTAACACACTTGACAAAGTTTTAAAGCATTCAGGCATTATGGTCAAGTATATTTTTACTTAATATATTTATGATAATAAATTATACATAAGCATATGAAAGATTTAGAAACACATGTTTTCATTTTTAAACATACGCACACTTCATACGGTGCACAACAAGCTTACTAACACTGGTCGATGTTCTACTTTTTAGGTGAACAGCTATATACGTTTAACTTTTCTTTATCAGGGTATCATGTGAACAACGTGGGTCGATCTGTTTTAAACATCAACCTCTAAAGTCCCATGCCTGATAATAGACAGAACAACGTTAATCGAGTCCCCAAACAATTATTTAGTCAGTTTCTGCCAACGATACTCAACGAAAGATACAACGATAGTCACTGAATTAAAGTGTTATTTTCAGCCAAAAAAATATTTTGATGAAATAATCATTATTTCAACTTCCGCATCTAATCGTATGCGTGGGTATGAATTTTTCATAACCCGCTCGGGGGGTTCTACGTAAACAGCCATTTCGCTTTCATCCCTCAGAGGCAGCTGGTATTTTCTTACTAATATTTGTATCAAATTTCAAAATCGGCTTTTTCTCGCTTAATTAGTTTCATTTGTTGTATTGCGCAACTTAAACCGCAAACGCACCTCAACACTGACTCAAAACTGAAAGTGCATGGGCCAAAATGGTAAACGAAACAAGAACGAATACTCCCGACACATCTAAGACTTTTAGCATAGTAAACTGCGCCCTAAACGCTCCGCTGATGTTTATGGCGATCATCGGTAATGCACTAGTTCTGATAGCCACGTCGAGGACTCCTTCGCTTCGTTCACCATCCATAATTCTGCTATGCAGCATGACCTTTTCTGATCTTCTGGTTGGTCTTGTAGCTCAGCCACTTTACATTGCGAGTGAAATGACCAAAGAGGGATCTCTGAGTCGGATAATGGAAACAGTAGCGTTTTCTGCGTGTGGTGTTTCACTTTCATCCATAACAGTTATAAGTGTGGATCGATTGATGGCTCTTCACTATCATATGCGTTACCCATACGTTATGACCGCAAAGCGCGCCATTTGTATATCAGCGACGCTTTGGTTAATCTGTGTGGTGTTATCGCTTTCAACTTATTGGAAGCAGAATATTTATCACTCTACTATAGTCGCCACTATATTAGTTTGCCTACTGGTTTGTACCATATGTTATATGAAAATTTATCGCATTGTTCGCCGACATCAGTTACAGATCACGATTCAAGCTCAGCAAGTGGCGAAGGAAACTTCCAAAAACGCAAATGGACATGAATTGAACATCGTGAGATCGACTAAAAATGCCAAAAACACTTTTATTTACTACGCGATAATGATATTGTGTTACATGCCACTGTTTATTTCCATGTCTGTCTCCGCTATTTCCCGTCAATACTGGAGGAACGAACTTTCTTTGGCAGAGACCGTAGCTTTTATGAACTCCTCTATCAATCCTTTCTTGTATTGCTGGCGAATTCGTGAGCTTCGAATGGCAGTGGCCAAGACAACTAAGCATATTTTGAGGCAGAAAACGGAGTAAATTAGTTTTCACGAAGGCGGTTTAATTTGCAAATACAACGCTTTGCTCTTCTCGAATCGGTTCCTTGTTTAGAAAACCTTTTATTAATTATTAAGTCACGATATCTCGAGATTTCAATACAGATTTAATTTGAGACAAGGTTTAAAATAAAAAAAATTTCCCCGTCATCGAGGCTAGAGTCATCAATAACTTTAAATAAAAGTTAGCAAGCCGTAGATTCGAGATATTGTTAACTGCAAATACAGAAGCTTCAAAAAACAAGGCCTAGCAAGTTTTATGAAACGTCATCCTGAAAATAAATCAACATAACAGACTATACATCTAAAAAAAGGGTTCACGTTGGCATTATTTGTATAATCGAAAGACCAAAAACAAAGAAGGAATTATCGACACGACACGATATTGGGAGACTACCAAGGCAGTTGTGAAAACATCGCTAGGTTTAAAGTTTTCCGCTAGTGATGGTTCCCTATTAAAACTGACCTATATACCGTTTGTGAAATCAACTGATGATTTTTCTATAACATCATTGAAAAAAAATTATGAAATCATTTAAAGTTGACTCGGGTCAAAAAAAAAAAAAAATAGAGTGGGAATATTTCAATCCGGTTGCAGGGAGCACAGCTTTTAGCTAAAGTTATTCACTCCTATTAAGTTGGTAACACATTGACCTGCCAACAAACTAGCCTCAAGTACTGGGGCCTTTCGATGCTTTAAATTCTAATCTCGTGTTAAATAAATGAAATGAATCGAAGTGTGAGCAGCCTAGAAGTAAATGGTTTCTGTCATCTTTATGGTCACTTTTACTGTCATTCAGCGTTATTTAATATACCGTTCCTGAGTGAACTTACTTAATATTTTGCCACCAACGTATTTCCTTTTCCAATTAAGTTTTTCTCGCGAAATAATTTTTAGACGAGCTTAAATTAAGGAGGCACCTATCGTTTGGGATATATAGCAAACGGAAATGCACACGTATTGCTGCCAATTTATCTTAGATGTTAATTCATAGGTAATCGTGGCATGAACAGTTTTCTTGTCACTTCCACTGATATGTCAATCCAGGCCAAAATTATCATAGTTTTTAAGGTCAGTTTGTTTCGTTGCTTCTTTTTAAAACAGATCTATTTGTGTGGGAGTGTAAACAACAGCTTCATGTCAAAATGTTCTTAATTAGCCTCGTGTTACATCAAGGCTTTAAGGACCTCATAGAGGGAAATTTCATTAGTCACTATCACCTGAGGCTTCGCTTGATATTCCCTTATACCCTATGGATGTTTCGTTTACGCTTATTCACAGCGGAAGCACTGTAAACATGCATTAGTAGTTAAGGCTGTGATGACATCAGTGCAGGCTGTTTTTTAATAAGTTTTAGCTGGAGACTCTAAAGCACAGTGTTGCAAGTAGTGTCAATCAAAACAGGGAAAGATAAGAAAGCAAGAGCACTTAGAAAGATGAAACACCTTAAAAGGGCTTCTTAACCAAACCAATATTCATTTGTATGCTGATTCCTCGGCAGAAAAAGATACACACTGTAAAGTGATGCTGTATTATCAAAGGAGTTCTTGGATAATTTCATGTGCTTAAACCCCAGCCTTTGTGTTGCGATTGGATGCTTTTAGTGCATTTGCCAACGATAACCATCGGAGTGAAGTACTTAGAGTGGTAAAATATTTGCTCAAAAACAGGTCCTTTTACCTTGCAGTCGTCGGGAAGAAACAGATGCTAACCAGTATGGCATCAACAAATGAAACAAAGCATCTTGACAACAGTGGTGGTGATTCTAGTCTAGAGACATTTGAAATCATTAATTGCATTTTCAATGCTTTACTTATGCCTGTATCAATTACTGGCAACTCTCTGGTTCTAGTTGCCATATGGAGGTCCCCTTCGCTTCGTTCACCGAACATAGTTTTGCTCTGCTGTCTGGCTGTTTCCGATCTCTTCGTTGGAATTTTAGTCCAACCAAGCTACCTCATTTATCGTTTAAAAAAGAGCTCCATTTTCTACAAAGTAATGGCAGCAACGAGCTTCGCAGCATGTGGCGTTTCTCTGTCGACTATGGTGGCAGTAGCCGTGGATCGCTGTATGGCTCTTCACTATCACCTGAGATACGCGCAGTTGGTGACAACGCGTCGGGCAATTTATCTATCAACAGCTCTTTGGATCGTTGCTTTTATGTTTTTATTCTTAACGCTTTTGGGAAACCATGTCTTTGCCGTGACAATAGCTGTTAGTACCACCACTTGCCTACTGGCATGCCTGGCCTGCTACGTTAGAATTTATTTCGTTGTTCGTCGACATCAGCTTCAGATCAGGGTCCAACAACAGGCAGTAGCAGGTTTTAGCAATGGAAATAATCACAACTTGCAACAGTCAAGGAATACGACAAAAAACACCTTTATCTTTTGCATCGTACTGATAATGTGTTATACACCTTTATCATTTACCTGGTCAGTTGTCGCTATTTCTCCAACTTACAGATGGTCAAATGAATGGATCGTGGCGGACACTTTCTTATTTATGAACTCATCGATCAATCCTTTTCTATACTGTTGGCGTTTCCGCGAGCTTCGAGAGGTAATTGTAACCATGGCAAAACAGATATCTTGTAAGTAAGATGAAAGAGTTTACCAACCGTAAAGATGTCAGTCAAACTACCCTCTTCTGTAACAATTACTGGTCTTTACGTGTCGCTGCATTGGGATCTCCGTTGCTACTTATGAGGTCGCCACTTTAGGGTGGGGTTAATAAAAAGGGCGAATTGATTTCACGCGCTGATAAAATCGTACAAAATCAGGGCGCGTTTTACAAACACAAAGATGAATGGGACATTGCATTGTTTTCACGCAAGTGGTATCCTGCTACAAAGCGTATATATAGTATCAGTAATAGTTCAGATGGTCATCCAAAACAATCATGTTAGATCATTCTTGTTGTAGTCGGTAAATCAATTTTACAATCAATGCTCCTTTTCCAACCATAAGGATGAATGAGACATTAAATGGAGTATTTTTACGAATTCTGCTACAAAGGTAAATAGTATCAGTAACAGTACTAATAGTCATCCAAAACAGTCATTTTAGTTAATCCTTGTTGCAGTCAGTAAATTAATTAAATAATTTGGATATATCAACAAAGTTGAAGTGGTAAATTGGCCACCGTAACGATTACACAAGCTGACGTTTCGAGCGTTAGCCCTTCGTCGGAGCGAATAGAGGAATTGTGGGTTGTGTGTGCTTTTAAAGGCAGCGGAGAATGGAGCTACGTTATTGGTGGGAACATGGCAACGAGAAAAACAATAATAAATTAGTGGAATGAAAAGCGTTCGTTGATCCCTGTGGGATTTAGACTGCCGGTTTGAAAGATGAGCTTTTGTTCAAGATTTTTTACGGCTTTCCGTGCTACCTAAGTGTAAAGAAAGACCGCAGATTGCCATATGTTGCTTAGAATGATTAGGTAAATTAAAATGTCTAGCGACTGGTTTCGATGTGTCCTTGTCATTCCTTTCCACGTCTCGAAGGTGTTCTTGGAATCGGTCACCCAGTCTTCTGCCTGTTTCGCCGATGTATATCTTTTTGCAATAAGTGCAAGTTATGCAATAGATTACATTGGCGGAGGTGCACGTGAAGTGATCGGTGATCTTAATGGATCGTTTAGGTCCCGATATTTTATCAGTGTTGTGAATGAAAGGACACGTTTTGCATCGTGCACGAGCGCATTTAAAAGTGCCTGGTTGCTCATTAGTCTGAAAAGAACTTCTGAGCAAAAAATTCCCTATGTTTTTCTCGCGTTTGAATGAAATGAGCGGAGGCTGCGAAAAGATAATGCTTGTCGCTGGATCGTTTTGAAGTAATTTAAAGTTTTTAAGAATGATGGATTTAACTGAGTGGTTGTGAGGGTGAAACGTGAGACTGAATGGAATGCGGTAGGAATCTTCCTTATGCGACGTTTGTAGTGCTGAATGTCGAAGGGCTAACGCTCGAAACGTCAGCTTGTGTAATCGTTACTATACGGTGGCCAATTTACCACTTCAACTTTGTTGATATATCCAAATTACTTCGTTACTCCCACCGACGCAGCCCCAAACAGTTTCTTTCGAAACTATCAGCCTTTATACATTAGTAAATTAACTACATAACGGTGGTTTCCCATAGAATCCGTGAAGGAAAAGAGAAATGTCCAAGTGCATTGTTGAAAATTTTGGTTAACATACATGTAATCGTCGCTGAAATCTGGCGGAACTGACACCCATTGTGTATCATGACATATCAAATACAAAGGCGTCGTCCTCATCACTGGATTATGATATTATGTTACTCAATATTAAAAATAAGTATCAGTGGCGATACGGAACAGTTCACATCTTGCGAGAAATTATCGTCACTGTGTCAATAAGATTTTATACCGGAAACTTACTGGAGAGTTCAACCCTGGGCATCACCACAATCAGTTGCTCCCCTGTCTGTAATTATAGAATTAGAAAGTACTATCTTTTCGTAAATCCCTATGAGAGCTGAAAAAAGGAAAGAAAACTCACATTTGCAGACATGTCAAAAAAAAATTAAATTAAGAATAAGGAATTTTTTAGGCAGTACGATTTCCATTACACACACACACACACACACACACACACACACAAACGATTTATCATTGAAATTGGGGGGCGTATATGGTAATTTTGAAGAAAGCGTTATGTGAGTGAAATCAAGCCCAAAGACGGATTCTTCCCCCAGCATTTAATTTAAATTGCTGCATTAAAAGCCTGCTTAAAACAATTAGCGAAAAGAATATCGTCATCGATGGGCAAAGAGAAATTAACATATACAAATGAAATTATGCACGATTGAACATCGATCAATGCAATAAGAGGAGGATGCAGTAATTAAAGAAAGACATAAGAGGACAGGTGAATATGAAGGAAACGCATCTAAAGGGCCCTTTGAAGCTTTTTAAGGCAATATTTTCAATTTTGAGTTGTGAGCGCGACCATTTGGAGTAGACAACAACAACAGGACTCTGTTACAAAATAAGTGAAAACGGACGAGGGCTGAAATGGCCGGTGAATTTGAGAGATACTTTTTGGCGAAGAATGACAGTCTTAAAACCGTTGTTAAGCTAAACTGTGTCCTTAACGTTCCCCTGATGCTCATAACCATTTCTGGCAACGCTTTGGTGCTCGTAGCTGTAATGAGAACACCTTCGATCCGTTCGCCAAGCACGATAATGCTATGCAGTTTGGCGGTGTCTGACCTTCTCGTCGGCTTGGCAGTTCAACCGCTCTACGCTGCTTCTTATTTAACAAGAAATTATTCGCTTTTCGAGGCAACGAGGACATTGGGTTTTATAGCAAGTGGTGTCTCTCTTTTCACAATGACAGCCATTGCAGTGGATCGGATCTTAGCTCTTCATCACCACTTGCGATACCCCCTGGTTATGACTAAAAGTCGTGCCATATGTGTATTGGCAACTCTTTGGATCATTACCGTCTTGTTATCATGCTCAGCTTTTCTCAACAAGATTGTTTACGAATTTACTATAGCTATTACCATCGCGATCTCTCTTTTCACGAGCGCCGTTTCTTACGTTAAAATTTTTTGCATCGTCCGACGGCATCACTTACAGATACGCATTCAAGAAAAAGCGATGGAAAGTGTTAAACACGGAAAAGTTCGTGATTTTCAACGATCGAAGAAAGGTGCTGTGAATGCGTTCATTTATTTGATTGCCATGATTTTATGCTACACACCTATGTTTATTAGCATGTCAATCTCAGTTGAACTTTGGAAAATTGAATGGATCTTGGCGGATACCTTAGTGTTTATCAATTCGTCCATCAATTCATTTCTTTACTGTTGGCGCCTTCGCGACCTTCGAGCAGCCGTTTTAAAAACTAAAAGGCAGTGTTTGTGTCAAATGATAGAATAAAAGAGTTTGGCGAATTAATAGTTAGACATCAGTTCGCGACAATGAAGTCAGCTACAGGCTTTTTTATATTCATAAGAAGTAGATTAGGGCGTCTTTTAAATGATAACTGACATCCTGAAGGCGCACGAATCCGCTTCCTAAACACACTGAAAACCACCGAGTCGATAAATACGTTGTATTGCGGTGTAGATAAATGACTTGAAATTACACTTTTAATGTTTTCCAGTTTTTTTGCCGTTAATTAAGAAGTTTATTGACTTTATAGCGGTCAAACCCTTACTATACACATTTAGCGCAACTTCCGATCAAATTCTACAAATTGCGTTCATCATCATCTTGACTAAACCCACATTGGTCCGACAACACTTTAAATTCTGAGGAGCAGCCGCAACCTTTGAACAGTTTAGAAGTTTACGAATCTCGATGAACTTTTTCAAACCCCACCAAGATATAACTTGGGTATATGTTGTGACCGATATGGCCGTTTTCAAAAATCATGTTTCATGTCCTGACGCACTCCCTGAATTTGATTTAACCAACTTCAGACTAACAGTTGAAAAACAAAAGGCTCTGGAGGATTTTTGTTTTAAGCAATACATTTGCCATGTGTGAACAAATAAATGATGAACTGGAATGATCAGAATCCGCCGTTAAAAGATTTCTCCTTTTTCAGGTGACACTTTTAACAATTGCGCCTCAACATACAAACAGCATGGCAAACGTTAACACCATAAACCGATTAAGTTTTATATCTACGTGAATTAAAAAGTTAGTAGGAAAAACAGATTTCACTGCTGAAAGTTGAAAGAAAGTGGCTTTTGCTGACACATACAAATTCAATGAAGTAGTGTGCTCGCTAACAACGACGTTAGGGTGTTTCACAGCCAAACTTCGTGACCTTACTAAACATAAATATTTTTAGCTTTTACGACAGATTCTTAAAAAAAAAAAGTTAAAACGATTCGTCAGTGAAATCGGAGGGCTGTTTCAATTAAGTACTGTTGGAGAAAAAATAATATATTCTAAAGTCAAAATACTAGTGCGAACAACTTCATGCCGTGAACCAAAAGTCTTATGGAACTGACGGCAAGATTTTGCTTCTCTGATAAAACTGACAAGCATTTTTTTTCGTTAGTGTTTATGACAATAGAAGAAACAAATTGAAAATTGTATGCAGTGGAAGTTAGGCAGAAAAAAAGACGCCCTATGGCAATTCTCCCGTAACAATCGCATCCATCTAAGAGCTGTAAGACCGGAACAACCCACTAAGAAGAGAGGAGAGCCAGGAATGTTTGGTATTTTATAATAATTTACTTTTTTTTTTACTTCAGTGAAACTTGAGATGCACCTTGGTCAATATCTTCCACATTTTAATTATGCATATAAAATGTATGCCAACACTCAGTTTGGCCATATGCTGCATAACACTTAAGAGGGTACCTTTTAACCGAAGTTAATGCGTTTGTAAGTCATCTCGGCCAGAATGACGAGTGAATTTAGAGCTAACCATTCCCGCAATTCTGAAAATAGTTACGGCTTAGAAACCGTCGAAATCGCAAACTGCATCCTTAATTTTCCTTTGATGCTCGTATCCATTTTTGGCAACGTCTTGGTTCTCGCCACCATATTGAGGATTCCATCGTTTCGTTCGCCATCCATGATTTTGCTCGGCAATTTGGCTGTTTCAGACCTTTTTGTTGCACTTCTCGCCCAACCGATTTACATTTTGGCTTTCATGTATGTACAAGAAAACTATTATCTCGGCCAAGCAACTCATATCACGGGGTTCTCTGTTTGCGGCACCTCTCTTTCGACAATTACAGCTTTAGCTGTTGACCGGGTGTTATCTCTTCACTATCACTTGCGATATCCAAGTTTTGTGACAGTACGTCGAGCCTTGTACACATCAGCTTCGCTTTGGTCCCTTCATGTGCTGATCGCCATTTTATTAACCTGGTCACATGAAATTTATTATTACGCTGCAACCGTTTCCATTTCATTGTACCTTTCCATTTCCATTGTTTGTTTTGTTAAAATTTACCGAATTGTTCATCGGCATCAAATGCAGATTAGCATTCAGCAACAGGCAGTAGAAAGATTGAATGAAGCCTCAGAAAATAATAAGCGGGTGCTCAGATCCACCAAGGGTGCCAAAAACATTTTCATCTACTACATTGTGATGATTATGTGCTACACCCCTTTGTTTTCTACCTATTTAACATCAGGTATTCCACAGATAAATTACAGGTTTCGATGGACCTTTCCAGTAACCGTAGCATTTTTTAACTCTTCAATCAATCCAGTCTTGTATTGCTGGCGACACCGCGAGCTCCGAAAGGCGGTCTTGAAAACAGTAAGCCTAATGTCTTGTAAAGGAACAGATTGAAAATAGAGAACACTACAAAGTCTGAGTGAAAGACGCATTAAGCCTCGCTTAAAGATTACCGAGGAAAGTTTGGTAACGCCTACTTCCATTACAAGGGAGCTTCTCCTTTATTTAAAATGGAAAAATACTGCATTTTGTTTTGTCATGAAACACTTGTTTGAGTGAAACCTTGAAGGCAGAAGTTTGTTATCAACGATAAAAATTAGAAGTGGTAAAATAAAATACATGGATAAAAGCGCTTTACCCTTATATTGTTAAGCTCCTATATTTCAAACCCAAATGATGATTTTTACTACGGAGCGAGTGTTTTATTTCATTTAACGAGATGGAAATTGCAAAAGATTATGTAGACTTGGAGACTTCAACTTAAATTTATCCATTGTACGCTTTTCTCTCAGACGCTTTCTGCAAGGGTTTGCATTAAGTAAAGTTACGAAGCGTGAGATAGATCAAATCCTTTAATCAATTATTCAATGAGAGGGGTAAGTTGTAAATGGACATCGATGATTACTTCTAGTGGATGAATTCATTTCCTTTCCAGTTCAAACAAATGCGGGCTCCTTCGCATATCAATTAATTTTCCTTTGACATTAGCCAAGGAGTTTAGAAGAAATGGCAGGTGCCTTAAAGCATAATAGAATTCTCATCCGTTCGAGTAATTACAGAATTACATACAGACTCATTTCAAATTTAAAGTGTTCATGGTTCATTCTAATTTTAGCTTCTTTCACGACAAGCTGACGACCAAACTAACAAAAAAAATCCAGATAAATATAGAAAGCACTAACGACTTCTACCTTTAATTCACCCTAGACAGTTACTTCTAGAACTTCACAGCACTAAAAGAAATCTCTCAGCCAAACCACAGCTTATGTTAATAGAATAATTCCTCAAACTGAATTTTTTTTAGGTAAAACTGTTCTCGTGTGTCTTCTATATCTTCCTTTGCAAAACTTTTTGCACATTTCTCCTCGAATTATCAGCAGCTGATATGAATTAAGACACACACAAGGCAGTTAATCATAAATTTGTTGATTCTCTTTTCGTTCAACATTTGATAATCGAAAGAGATGTTCGTTGTAGAGTGGGAGATTACCATTCACACATCCTTCAAATGGGGTCTCTTGTTTTCCTTTGGATAAAAATAAGATCTATTACCCCGTCGTTTTCTCAGATCTGCATAACTATATTTGCTCAGCTAGTTAAAACATACGTATGATGCACGATCCTCGCAGTAGATAGCGCTATTTAAGCAATAGCGAAAATCAGACCTGAAAAAAATCAGGCCTGTACGGGATTCGAACCACTGACCTCTGCGATACTAGTGCAGCGCTCTACCAATTGAGCTAACAAGCCAACTGGGAGCAGGCCGTTAAGTTGATTCGTAATAAACTCGTGAAAGTGATAAATAGATACAATGAAATATATGAAGTTCATATATTTTGAACTGCGGTATTAGATACGTATGATGCACGATCCTCGCAGTAGATAGCGCTATTTAAGCAATAGCGAAAATCAGACCTGAAAAAAATCAGGCCTGTACGGGATTCGAGCTACTGACCTCTGCGATACTAGTGCAGCGCTCTACCAATTGAGCTAATAAGCCAACTGGGAGCAGGCCGTTAAGTTGATTCGAAATAAACCCGTGAAAGTGATAAATCAGATACAATGAAATATATGAAGTTCATATATTTTGAACTGCGGTATTAGATACCGCAGTTCAAAATATATGAACTTCATATATTTCATTGTATCTAGTTAAAACATTTTATCATGTCTAGGCTATGTTGTCCTCAACGATGATTTGTCTGGTAGTTCATTTACATACTGATTAAAGCATGGAGAGAAAGAAGCACATACATCGTTGTACACCGTATGGTCCTCCTATGACGAAAGGTGATTGGACCAGAAATTGTTAGTCACCTCGACAGCGAAAAGTAATGTTCTAATTTTTCTCGATGATAACAAACTTACACCTTCAAGTTTCACAACAAAAAAAGTGCTGCTTTTTCCATTTCAAATAAAGTGGAAGCCCTCCACCTAACGGAAGTAGGTCTGTATAAACCTTCCTCTGTAATCTTCAAGTGAGGCTCAATGCTTCTTTGACTTTGACTTCATAGTGTTATCTCGTGTCAATGTGATCCTATGTAAGACATTAGCCTTGCTTTTCTCCATATCACCAGATAGATATGGGCAATCATAATGATGAACGGCTCTTCCTAAACCTTATACATGCATAATTCAACGAGTATAGCCGTAAATCGGAGACGAAACGATAACAAACCTGCGGGCAACCAACTCCTCAGGAAAATCGCGGGAAAGACATTTCGTGCAGAGACTATTGCCATCGTAAATTGTGTCCTTAACGCACCAATGATGCCAATATCACGTGGAGGCAGTGTGGCTGAGTGGTTAGAGTGTCGGACTCGTAATCCGCCACTCCCGGGTTCAAGTTCCACCCTGACCACTGGATTTGTTCACGGCAGCCCCGAGTTCAGATCCTTGGCCACGCTTGTAAATAGCCAACTGGTTTGCCTCCGGCTGGTTGGGGTTCTTAATGATGTTACCTTCAATTTAGACCATTTGTTTCATTTGTTTGCAAGGACCACAATAGAAACTACTGGTTCACCAGTAATTGTTTAATCCTGTAAAAAGACTTTTTTTTTTCTTTTCTTTTTTAATATCCATGATAGTAAATTTTTTGGCGCTAAATGTTGCAGTGAAGGAAACTTCACTTCACTCACCTTCCACAGAGCTCTGCTTTGCAACTTAGCTGTGTCAGATCTTTCAGATGGATTTTTATCACAAACCTTGTGTGTTACCCACGAACTGTCAAATAACTTATGGTTACGGATAATTGCATTTTCTCCTTGGTATCACTACCATAAGTGTGAATCGGTTTCTGGTTCTACATTATCAATATCACCCAATGGTGACTGCAGATCGAGTTACGCGCGTATATCTCGCTCTTTGGATTATTGGCTGTCTTGTGGTAACATCAAGCTTTTGGGAAAGTGTTCGTTTCTTCCCCATAGCTGTGTCTATTTTGGCTTGTCTATTTGTTACGTTTACTACAAAAAATATTTATCCAGTTTTTCGTCGCCATCAGCTACAGATTCCAGATGAAGGTAAACTGAGCATTCAGCAATCTCCGAAAAGTGCCAAAAACACTCATAAACTTCGTTGTTATTCATCTTTGCTGTATGCCTTTATTTGTTACCATTTCGATATTGAGTGACCCTCTTCCCTCTGAACGAAGCCCTAAAACAAACTGACACATAAGCATTCCTGAACTCGAGCATTAATCCGTTCTTATACTATTGCACCTACGCGAGCTCCGAAGGGCAGTTGTCAGAACAACAGGACACATTTTAGGCCGAAAGCCTAACGTGAACTAATTAACTAGGGTTATAAACGTCAGTGATTATCAAACAACAACAAACATATGAAACATATGTGTGACATACGTTAGTGATTATATAATAACAACATACGTCAGTGATTATGCTGACGATTATATTACACGACAAGAGTTCAGTTTGGGCAGCTTATTTCAGCTATTTTAATGATTCCCAGTAAGTGAGAATCAATTTTGAACGCAGAGGAGTAGCCTATCTGGAATAAATGATTTCCCGTGACCCTGCATTAGAAGAAAAATGCTTTTCCTTGATCTGTTCATGTTGTCCTTCAGCAGCATTGTTGAGAAATTAATTATTAATTATTAATTATTAATTATCAATTAGCTCTACAAATTAATCGAATGAAGCTTTACACTGCTGTAAAAAGAAGAATGTTTCATAAATCCGAGCATTCACCGATCAACGGCATCATTAGGGATCCCTTATCATCAGCATCTCTGATCGGCGAAAGCTCGGACTTATGAAACATTTTACTTTTTACAGCAGTGTAAGGCTTCATTCGATTAATTTGCTTTTCCTTGAGGTTCCTTTTTCTTAAATTAGCTCTACCTGCTTTTATTTTTGGTTCATTTTAGCGAAGATTGAAAAGAAGTTAGAATCATAATATCAAGTTAGTTCTGTTTATGCAAAACCGTGGTTATTATGAAATTGTCTATTTCAATTTTCTTTCTTTCCTTCGATAGGTTCCCCCGAAAATCAAACAACTGTAGTTTCATCCTATTTCATAGCTCAACATATTAACGACCGAAATAGTAGTGATAATAATTAAACATATAATAATGATAATGAAAATTATAATAAAATGATGATAATAATATTAACGATAATAACAACAACAACAATAATAATAATAATAATCCGCCCTAATCGGTCTAAGAGGATCCAGAACAATATGAAGGCCCAAATTGGATTTTACTAATGTAGACCTAGATATTCAAAGTTCAGTGGCTGCCATTTGTTAGTTAGTTTCTTTTTTTTTTAGATAATTTCAGTGTTAGTCGACATTTTCATGTATTCCTCGATTTTTTAAGGATTTTATCTTAATATGTTGGTAAATATTTTGATGATTAGAGTGAATTATTGTTATAATAGTGTGTATCCTCTAGTTTTTCTTACATTTTTATTAGACATTTTAACACATTTTTTCGATTTTCAAGCATTTTATCATAATTTTTGTCATAATTTTTTGTGATTATGGTGAATAAAGGATTAATTTTTAAACAATAATAATAATAATAATAATAATAATGATAATAATGATAAAAAAGCTATCACAAGGAAGCGATAACAAAAATTTATCATTTGTTGTTGACAGTTTATTATTACCAGAATGTGCTCTACAATTCTGTTTTTTCAACTTCACGAGTTTGCCAAAATCCCGGTCTAGTGGCAGCAACAAAATACGCGGTCTAGTGGCAGCAACAAAATTATTTCATTTTTAGTCTGTCTAAATTTAAAAATAATATATCTAAACCATATGCCGTGCCATTCTAGACACGTACTTCAATTTTCTATTTGAGCTGCGCAGCCAAGGCAATATAAATTACATTTACGGTATTCTCAGAGGGATTGTTTATTTTCACTAACAAATATTCAAACCTTCAAGGTGTGGCCAAGGTGCTGTTGTACGCGTGACATGGGATTTGAAACATCAGGGGAGCACAGATCAAGTGCCG